AATATAAACAGATGAGCTAAAGCATACTGCATACCAACAATTACAGTAAGCTATGTGGATGTCTGTTCCGCAGAATAGCTTCCCAGTACTCGTTCCAAGGTCCTATTTTGCCTTTCAGAGTAGTGAAAACATATTTTACAGCTGACGACCGAGCACGTGCATGCTATGATAGAGCATAATGATACATCTGAAAGTTTGAGGCTGATCAAATGTATATTATCACATCTTATCATACAACATTTGTAATCATATACTTGTATACGTGCAATGAGATAAATCCACCATTCCGCTGGAGGGCGTCACGCCTTAAGAGCGCCCCCTACATGGATAACGAGCAAAACGAACAATTCACTGTCGGGCTGATGATAGTCACTGCGCATGCTCGTCACAGGATACTGGTGTGTTCATGTCGGTGGGTTATCGTTATCAAAATGTATGGGTTTGTAAATGAAATATACCGGGAATATTATTAAATATAACAGTGAGTGAGGTGGTCTTAACGCCGCTTTCGGCAGTATTTAATGTTAGGGGTGCGGTGGTGTGCGGTGGTGTGCGGTGCGGTGCGGTGCGGTGGTGTGCGGTGCGATGCGGTGCGGTGCGGTGCGGTGCGATGGGATGTGGTGGGGTGGGGTGGGATGGGGTGGGATGGGATGCGGTGCCGTGAGGTGAGTTGCGGTGAGGTGAGGTGAGGTGAGGTGAGGTGAGGTGAGGTGAAATTTGATTAAACGTCATGTTAAAGATTATAGCACTCAAAACGTATTGCTCTCCTGGAAGACGCTCTACCCATTAGACCACGATGGCGGTCATGTTAATGTTAACTTAAGTGTCAGGTCATATATGTTTACCACTTAACCCTTCCAGCACTATAGCACTAGCACTAGCACTAGCACTATAAATCGGCATCAGTCCGGACTAGTACAACCAGCCACACACACACGTGCATGCACGTTACGATATGAGTGCAATAATCTTGAACGCGACGTAAAACCCAATTTCACCTCACCTTTTACGTCCAATGGTATCTGTTTCAGCAGCTATAGCTAATCCAGACCGATAATTCTCTGGCGTTGATAATAATATGTTGAATGTTAATATAATTACAATGCATTGTACTTCCAGGTAACGAATCCGAAGCAATACAAGATTTACAAATGAGTAATAACATGTCGATGATCGTTCTTAATTAATCAAAACACAATCGCCATGAACACGTAAATCGTAGGCTTCAGTTACAAACATATACATTTCAAAAGTATTATATATGGCCTAATCAGACCAGTAATGATGTGAATCGAGCTTTCTTTTTAGTAATTCATATACTCTTATTGTCAATATAAAGGTTAATGATATTTTATGATACTTAGTTAATGATACCATCTCCTGCTGTATGTCATAGAAATAGAAAAACGGTAAGTACAGTTAGATTGTTCGTAATGTTAACAGAGAAAATCAATACTTATCTATAAATAAATCCCAAAAATTCACACAAAAGGATCATATGACATTGTATTATCAGGATAATGATAATAAAGAAGAATGGAATAAAAATCCTACACCACCTGTCTGGAGTCGTGGTGTGTAAATATGCAAATTTTGTTCAGATGCTGTTGAAGATGAAAACCATTTCCGACTTCAGTGTTCTTTATACGATGATATCCGTCGTAATGAACGCCCGACCTCATTCAGTGATTGCTCTGCAACTACCGTATTCGACGTAATAAGCGCCCTGCTCTAATAAGCGCCCACGGCGGTATTTGCTAATATATTGGCTAGTGAACAATCCCAGTTAGCACCCCTTCCGATTGATCAATGTTCACAAGACTTATTAATTCACGTACAATGCGCACTCGTGTGTTATATGCACCCTTAATTATGGGCAATTAAATTCTAGAAAAATATATCTTTCGTACATAAACATTTCAGGCTGTCAGCATAAACCACGAAATGTATCTTTCAACTCTCTTTTTTTTCACCAAAATAATATTCTAATAAGAGCCCCCTATTTCTAATTTTGAGGGCGCCCTGGGCGCTTATTACGTCGATTACGGTAACTTGAATATATCGCTTAACGATAATACCCTAGTCCCTTCATTAGGTACAACGTGCTTTAAAATATTCACCCGTAGAATACATTCTATCATTCATAATTTATATATATATATATTTCATCTTTTATTATTTTTTTGTTTTTCATAAATTTATTTAATTTATGTATTTTATTTCTTGTACTTGTCCCTCCTCTATGGTGTATAAAACGCTGAGTTCTGTATATGTACTCATATCTTTTATACCATATGTGTATGTAATTTTAATGTTTTTATCAAGAATTGTTCTTGATTTTACTGTCTCTCATAACCCGTTTGGGTGGCGTCTGTAATGTGTTTTAATGTATCATGCTCTTCATCTTCTTTATGTACAAATGGTGTGCCAAAATATTCCTCTTTGTATTGCATTGTTGTCCAAAGTTAAAACTTACCGACAGAAAAACCCGTTTGTCGTGCGAGTTCTAAACGTACAAAAATTTGCAGTATTAATTGGTTCATCGATATAACGCCCGTCTGACTTCAATCAAGTCTTCTAACGTCGAGTACGATGAAAACCTAGTACACAGGGGCGCCCACACCAGGTAGGATGTCACGTGTGCCTCCCTGGGACCAATTATACCCCGATATCACGCCGGTTGGCCGATGGAGGCTTCGGCGGCACAAGCAACACCGGCTGTAACGAACTTCAATTGACGAGAAAAATCAGTCCGTTGTATGCGAAATCGTTTTTCATGTGAACAGTATTGTTAGTTTCCACGCCTTGGGATACATCGTTACAGTCAATATATCATCCGAAGTTCATGGGGATACATTGGATCGTTACAACCGATATTTCGGTACATCCGAAGTTCAATTTTCAGACAGGGATACACTGGAGCGTTACAGTTGATATATCGGTACATCCGAAGTTCGATATTTAGATTGGGATACATTGGATCGTTACAACCGATATTTCGGTATATCCGAAGTTCAATATTCAGACTGGGATTCATTGGAGCGTTACATTTGATATATCGGTACATCCGAAGTTCAATATTCAGGTGGGGATACAATGGTTTGTAATAACCGATATTTCGATATATCTCTGTCGTTACTTACCCATAAAAATCCGGGGTAGAATAGGTCTTCAACAACCCATGCTTGCCGTAAAAGGCGACTGTGCTTGTCGTAAGAGGCGACTAACGGGATCGGGTGGTCAGGCTCGCTGATGTATTTGATGCATGTCATCGTATCCCAATTCCGTGGATCGATGCTCATGATGTCAATCACTGGATTGTCTGGTCCAGACTCGATTATTAACAGACCGCCGTCATATATCTGGAGTTTTGCTGAGTGCGGCCTTAAACAACAAACAAACAAACAAACTCTATCGTCACTCTTCTTAACCTGTGATAAAGTATGAACCATATATTTCAAGAATCATTCCTGTACACTACTATTTAGTATAAAGTAACTGAGAAAACGCATAACAACATCCATTATCACAACCCAACCGTGTGCACAAGAAGCTCACGAGGTGCTTCGTGATTATACCCTGTAATTCGATAACAATGGGGGCGGTCGGGTAGCCTCGTGGTTAAAGCGTTTGCTCGTCACGCGGAAGACCCGGCTTCGATTCCCGACATGGGTACAATGTGTGAAGCCCATTTCTGGTGGCCCCCGCAGTGATATTGCTGGGATAATGCTAAAAGCGGCGTAAAACCACACTCACTCACTCGATAACAACGTATCCCGGACGTTATTAAATTTAAATAAGTATTTCAATAATCAAAACTCTCTCTATGCATTGTTCTAATACCACGACGCCAGCGTGGCAATATTTCTCTGTAAGACGATAATGTCATATTGTCCGATATTCTGTAATAATAACACTAGTTATATTATCGATATTAACTGGATATATAACCAAGGAAGTCTTCATTTCAGTTTCAGCCTTCTCAACTCGTAAAGTGGCATCTGATAGCAAGGCAAGGAACAAACTTGATGGATAGCCGCGCAATAGTCGGTTTAATTAATCAGTTCCTGGTTCTACGTTTGTACCTGTCATCAACCATACCAACCCGTCCTTCGTTAAATATGACATCCTAAACGTGTAGTCTGTGTTCATGGGCTAGACAGCATCGGTTCCATTTCGGATATAGCATCATCGAAAGATGATCAGGCATCTCTCAAGAATCATACTAATTAAATCACAAAATTCACTGCACATTCCTGTCATTTTATATCAATCAAATGAAAGAGGTACGGTCGCTATGTGGAGTTGCGTGTATGGTAATGATATTATTTACAAAACATACACAACTTGATATTGTGTATATATTCATAACCATAATATTTTCTAAAGTTTGGAGTTTGTTTTACTTATATAACGGTTTGAACCAAATTGACCCTCCGTCCGTAACGATCTACACAAACACAGGCTTGTATCATTGCAGCGATCAAGGTATGCGGCGAGTAGTTTTTATGCCCGGTCGCGCTAGGTAACCACAGCGAGCCTCGCCGTATCGTTCCCCATGTACTGTGTATAGTTAGCAAGCATGAAGCGATTAGACGTCGTATACAATAAATCATGAATGGTTGTCTACAGATTCAGTTCGAATAGTCGCGACGTAAGCGTTACATATCTGCTCCATAAACTTTTCTAAATGAAAGTATACGTTTTAATATAACCGATTCATGATCACGAGAACAAAGAGACGTGATATCCATACATGACGTTCCACGCGGTTTCTCGCAAGCACGATATTTTCTTCCCAGCTTTGTCGTTACCCATGTAGACCTATTTTTGTTATTCCGTATACATGCGAGCTTCGAAACAATAGCTTGACGCCTATGCGCTTACTCACGTCCCACGTATAATTACTGATCAATTCCCCGCCACTGGCTCGCGCTCGCTTCCATGTTTCGCCTTTCCGATTGGTCGCTTGAAGTCACGTGGCGTGTATTATTGTAGGTACCGCGAGCGACTCCACGCTTGAGAGGCTTTCAGTGTGAGGAGAGTAAACGATCACTGCTCTCACAGTAGTCGGTCAGCTAACTTGGGTCTCTCTCCCTTCACGGATTACACACGGGAGGATATCGCCAGATTCAACTCAACCAGCTGACGCTTCCTCGTCTATTCCAGATTGATCCCGCCTCAGTCGTTGAGTAGGCCGGCGTTCGCGCATGTAGAAGCGTTGGATTGACAGAACGCGGAGAGTAGGCACTAGCGTGGCACCAGAGTACCATGACAGATCGGGACCCCGATTCTTCCAGGAATTTGTTGGAAGGCAAACAGAACAATCTCCACAGAGTTAACAACTGCGCCATGAAGTCGGAAAAATATCTCGAGGACTATGAACGCTTGAGGTCCAAATTGGCCCAAATTACGTGCTATCTGTACGGTTTGGCAGCGGTTGTTGTAGCCGGGATGTTGATCCTCATCGTTATTGTAGCCGTATTGTATGGGAAACTGAGTTATGATGTGGCGCACCATTCACACCAGCCCAAGGTGGGGGAACAGATCGCCAAAATTCTTGAACGAGGAAAATTATGTTTACCGTGCAATGAACTCAGATTGGGACCAAGTCCCGAGGAAGAGAATATGCTAAACAAGTTCACACGAGAAGAACATGACAACGTGGAAAAGTGTTGTGTTGAAACCCCCTCACAACTCTTAGAATTACTCGAACTGGTAAGTCTCATTTATATGAAATACATCTTTCATCCTACACATCCACACATCCAATGTTACAACACATCCACTGTCACCGAACACCGTACAAGCATCAGTATATGTACTATAGGAGTCCCTTGAATCCCTATGAAGTACGCCTGGTTTATGTAATTCGTATATAGAATCGCGTTAACTCATTTAGATTATATATTGGCCTATGTTCTGTTTGGGGAATTGGACAATGCCGTTCTGTTCCGACACAGTTGGACTACTGTTCCACTGTTTCGATTCCAAGACGGATTCATGTCATGTCTGTGACGCATACGTATATCATGTTTCGCATATGTGGGTTGTCTGACAAGGCTTGAATGTAGACGCGGTGGTGGAACTGATTTTTTCCATAACACCGTCCGCTTTCATTCTCCCATGGAACTACAGTGCTCCCGGGGTGTGCATCTGTCCATTGCAGGAATCCCCTGCTGAAGGCGCATTCTTCCACTCGTGAAATACGATAACCGGAAATGGAGCATAACAGCCAACATGTACTTCAAACAAATTTTGATTTTAATCACAATTCGTTTCGGGTTATCCCGTTAGGAAATTGATAACGTGCTGACTGAAGCACAGAGCTAATATAATTTCCAGTGTTAGACCAGATTGAAAAATGACACTTTTTTCTCCTCATCCGTTCGTCCCGTTCTACGCGCCTTGTCCGCGAATACAATTGGCATAGTATAGTTGGGTAGCGTTTTAAATCATTATTGGAAAGCCGTGCTATTTTTGAAGGTAAAATCAATATAAACAACACATGCAAGTTGAGAGCGTTAGGCTGACTGATAGAAGTGACGTCGACTCAATGCTATCGGAATGTGTTTGAGAGACTCTCATCAATTATTGACAGCAATATCGGTAGGTAGAGACCACCTGGTACGATGGGGACATGCTTCAGGACCAATGTCGACATTTCAACACGGGAAACAGTATCAATGCAATAAGCGAGGCTAATTAGTCAAGATGGGGACTGAATACATCAATGGGTGACAAGGCACATTAATATTTTATTGCGCGTTTTCATCGATATTATGGAAATAATTGCCACAACGAAACTTCTATCATTGAAGTGTTGAAGGGAGCAGGTGGGTCAATGCGGCGCTCTAATCGATAATGTTTATCAGAGACACATGTGATTTTATAGATGTTATGATAAGTAAAAATGAGAGAGAGAGAGAGAGAGAGAGAGAGAGAGAGAGAGAGAGAGACCGAACATTATGTAAGCTACATGCGTGTATTATATGAAACATGAAACAGTTTTGAGGTACATCAGACACTATTTCTACACAGAAACAAGTAAACCACTCAACCAACCCAAAAAATAAACAACAGCGTTGTCCCCTACACCCATACGCTCGAATTACAATGGTCAATGTATCCGATTCAGAAGTTATTCTTTAAATCCCTGACGGTCAGAGACGTAATTCTTACGGAATACATGAACTAATCAGAATATGACAATACAGCTGTCGCACCCAAAACAAAGAGTTACTAGCGATCTCTACAAAACTAAATGGGTAACATAAGTGTCAGCGTCCGGTGTCATGCCAAGGCCCGAGGAACCCATCAACTGATCATAAGAGCTTCAGCTGAAACGCATCTTCTATGGCTCCTATCTCGCCCTATTTTGGTGTGTTGTCTTCATACCTTGCATCACAGTATCAAATATGGGTATAGTCAAGGAAAAGTTAGCTGACATTCGTTTATCAAACAAGGAAATTAAATAGGTGGCATTTTAACCACGTAGAACTTATTACTCATGCAGGGGAGGATATAGACGTGCCTGTTTCGGAAATGACTAAGGCCTAGCGTTGGTGCAGCCCACAATGCAGTGTCTACTATTGGTATTTTCACGAAATAGTTACATGACATTCGTTTTTCAAACGAGGATGTGAAATAATGAATTAAACAATACCTGGAAATTCTTACTCATAATTGGGAAGGATCAACGTGCGACTGTTTCGGATATGATTTAGACGTAACGTTGTCACAGCGAATATACATGTGTGTCATTCTCGTATGGGCTTGTTGAATAAAAACGCTTCACATTTGTTGCCAGTGTCGCAGTAGTCTTAACCTGGACCAGGTGTGTTTCTTGTTGCTGGGTACTCCTGAATAGAGCGCACTCCTCAGGCTATGTATATGGCTGAATATGATATTGTGGGGATTGTTAGCAATACGAGATAGAATTGATACTTGACATGTATTGAATAAATATCCTGTACATTCGTAATTCAGAACGTATTGCCTTAGGGTATAATTCGTAAAAACGATTGACGTTATAGTTCAAGATTAGAACTGAAAAATTCAAACATCCCTTTTTTGTAAGTAGCTGAGATTTGTTTTGGACTGGATTTCAATTCCTCCGCAAAGTGTCAACAGATGCAGCCATGATTATAGCGTTATTTCCATATACAAACACATCCAGGGGATATGATATCAACCGAGAGTACTTCAGCCCACGCCTACACACACTTTTTAGGATCTGTGATGCCAAATTATTTACTTTGTCCAACAAGTTTGAAAAATAGTAAGGATATTCGTTATGGTAAGCAAGTTGTAGCCTTGGTTTTAGAATTATTACTTAATATATAGGTTTTTATAAAGTATGAAAGTTGTCCGTCTCGAGTCAGCAGCTCTCCCTGTCCCAGTCCCCTCTGATACCCGCTACCCACCTGCTTGCTTGTTCCCGCCCATTGACAGGTACCTGGCGATGGGTGACACCCCTCCCGTGGGAGGAGGTTCTGTGATGACGACTATCAAACGTCACGTGACACAGGGCGGGACTAAAAGTCCCGGACATTTGCAAAGCCGCTGAAGACATCAGTAAATATTATGGTCTCGCAAGGGGTGACGTCTAACGAGATAGATTCATAAAGGCTCACATTATTTTCTGATATATTCAAGTTACAGAGGTTATTTTGTTAAGGGGTTAATTAAAATATCTTAAATCATATCAATGAGACAGACAATTTTGTGCTGTTATTTATATTTGGTTGGTACTTTCTTTCAAAATATGTCATTACGCTGGCATTGTTTGGTGTTAATGGAATTATCAAGGGGTTGGCAATTTCTTGATCTTTATTAAGGATGATTGACAGCGTCTGCTTGACCACAAGGTGTTGTGTGGCGGACACGCGAATGGATGACCTTTAGTACCCCTGACCGGTAACGTGACACGGACTTGTATCACCGTATTATCCCAATGTCTGTCATAGTTTATACTGATTAACTCTTTCATGTCCCGGTTCACAGTTCACCGTAACCTTATACAAGATCATCTTGCTTATAGATCGAATTCGACCTTCGCACTTTTTTTCTGACATTTTCATGACCAAGAGGGCTTCCGATCGTGGTCATGAAAAATTCAGTTAAAGATCAATATTTTTTAGAAAGCAAATTAAAGAGCGTGCGTTTTGGTAATAATGCTTATCAACGTCCCCTGTACTTTAATTAACAGTTAAAGTTACATTATTTATACTCGTTGTTAGGTTTATATGGGCAGTTGAATAATGCATCCCACAGAGGCTCTGTATCTTCCGATCCATTCATCGTTCTTACAGCAAGCTCACAAGCTCTTGTTTGACCCGCAATAGCTTGATCGATTTCTCACTCACAGAAAGACTTCTTAGTCAAGGGCTTTTCAGTTGTATTTTGTTATCTTCTAGACTTATTACAAAGAAGAGGCAGTTTATTTGATTAATGATAAGCTGTGAGGGTGTTATTGAATTATCAATTTGGGAATTCCTCGTTCCGTGAGACAGCTTGATTTATGTCACACATCTTCGTCAAGATTTTAAGGATATCTAAAGTTGTTGGATGCAACACAGCGCCAACTACAAGACAAAACGACGCTTTGAATGATAAATTTCAAGAAAAAAACAGACTTTTTGAACGCTTGTACCGACTGTTGAAAACAGGTTTGGGGAAACATGTAGACTTGCTTAGTTTCTCAAGATCTATTCCTAAACCAAAAATAATGTAAACTTAAAAAAGGAAAACAACCGAAAATGTTAAAAACCGCATCCGTTTTCCTTTAAGAGAATTGCATCCATCTAAACCTGCAAATTACAAAAACCGAAATCATATCTTTCTTTTTTTTGTATTTTTTTTTGTATTTTTTTTTTTTCTTTTTTTTGGGGGGGGACTTGCAGCAAGGCTAGGCGAACTATGTATTATCTTATCGTATCATGATCATTTCTAGTTTCTGTCGGATAATGTCGGGTATTGTTCTTGTCAACTCAGTGATGTGTTCCTGTAAGCAGGAAACGATTAGTGAGTTACGAGTTTCGAGTTTAATCCGGGTATTAGCGTTCCCAAACTTTAATATGCTACATTATTAATACGGCGGTTGTTGGCTATGTGTGCAGATTCCATCTGGACAACAGCGCAATGAATGCAATGTAATTAATATCACTTGATCCGATTGATCGTAGGATAAGTGAAAACCCAGCTTCACACGCAATATATGCGTCCTGCTATTTTATCCTTATTCGTTCTGTTCTTGACATTCCTTTGAAGAGTAGGATAAAATATGTAGGGCTTATTTTAGGTTTTTTTTGTAACGACAACGACGGTGACATGTAACGACAACGAAGATTACAATGAACAGTATTTGCACAATTAGTGTTTTGCCTGGCAAACGTTAGTCAGTGTTTATTATGCCCGAATTGTCGTATGAGGCGACTAACGGGATCGGGTGGTCAGGCTCGCTGACTTGGTTGATGCATGTCATAGTATCCCAATTGCGTGGATCGATGCTCATGATGTCAATCACTGGATTGTCTGGCCCAGACTCGATTATTTACAGACCGCCGTCATATAGGTTGAATAGTGCTGAGTGCGGCGTTAAACAACTAACAAACAAAATATTATTCCCACATGTTGATGTTGGAATACATTAAAGCCCACTAGACAACCATAATCTGATGATCGGGGTTCGGATCCCGGATTCGACTCAATCTAAT